AAATCTCGCAAACGCAGGGAATCGAACTCACAACCTAACGAACGCAAACCGAATACCTAACCCCTGAGCTAAACTAACCTAACTGAGATCTTAAAAATAGAATACGGTTTTATGAAAATAGAAGATCTTATTACTTTTTTTCAATTTTATCAACATATTTTGTTGATAATTATTATTATTATTTTTAAAAAATTTTATAATTTTTAAAAATTAACAAGTAAAGTTAAAATAGGTATATTGTTATATTGATCAAAAAACATTTGTAGTCCAATTATCATATATTAATGTATTCAATTAATAAAATTTGCTTCAGCAAATATTTAATTAAACAAAAAATTCGTATGTAAATATTATTTGAATTCGAACTTAAAAGAATATGTGTAATATACAAATAAAATAGTCTAGAATAATAAGATACTGCCGGATTGTCTCAAGTAAACTCTGAGCGAATTTTATCAGGTTTTTCGCTCACGTTTTAGCACATTCATCACTATTATAATTAATTATAATGATAAGAATTAATTAATATGCATATATTAATTACTATATTATTAAAATTCAATTTAACATAATTCTTCCACAAATCAACTAAATAATTACTAATTTTAATTTCTCTTTTTAGCATACTGCACTATAATTAGATGTAATATTTGGTTCAAATCAAATTTATATTTAGTGGAAACTGGATCAAATTCGCTCAGAGATTGATTGAGCGATCAATTCATATATTCTATTTTACAAGAGACCAGAATGTTTTTGCTCATCTATAGTTGTAAAAAAATAAACTTTTATGTGAAATAGCCAGCGATTTCTAATTTTTTTCAAATATATATATATATATAGAGTTAACACAATGGTAAGAATAGGTTTTCAACATATGTTGCTTTCTTATAACTAAATGTAAGGAAACTAGCTTACTGTAAAATAATAAATACAAATTTGAAGTAGGGACTTTAAAAGTATAGTCGTAGTCATTGACGCCTTCCCTTTTCTGTCCTTGTCTTACAAACTTGATTCCATATATATTATATGTACGTTAGAAAAGGACAAAAAGAAAAGTATAGGCCAGAAGGATCTTTTATGGTTTTATGGCTTTTCATTGCAAAATTAAAAATTGTTGCATTTGAAAAAAATGATTTTTAAATATTATATTCGTAATGTACATGTTAATACAATTACAACGATATAAAATTTTTTGCAAATATTTTTAAATTATTGAGAATTAATTTTAATTAATGGAGTATTTATTGTATAATCATTATGTAATTTTAGAGTTTTTACATAATGTTTTATATCATTGGAATCGTTAAAATCTATAAATTACAAATATAACATTTAAAAAAATATTTATTTAAATTTAAATAATTTTTTATTTTGCATTAAAATGTCATAAAACCTGATGGACCCTCGAAAGGACCCTTCTGTTGGAAAAAGGGAATATATAATATAATAGAGTTATATGGTGGGTTTGAGTGGCCTTGGTACCTCTCTTGGAACCCTTTTTATAAAAAAAATAAAACGTAGTGAGAAATCGTCACTTTTTAGAAAACGTCAGGCCCATAAAAACTATTTAAGTCAGAATTAGTCAGCAGCATCACAGAACATCAAAATAGTCTCAAAACGTCAGGATTTCTGACGTTTTGAGACTGATTTCTGATTTTATTTTTAGCAGGGGTACCTAGAAAGATGCAGTTTTTTCCTAATTTTGCAATTTATCAAACCGAATATAATATAGCCAGACAGATTTGACATAAATTTACTAATTTAACAATTGTTTAAACAATTGTTGAATTTACAATTTTACATCAAATCTATCTTTTATTATATTCGGCTTGATGAGTTGCAAAATTAGAAAAAAACGGCAACTTTCCAGGTGCTGTACAAAAAAAGTTAGTAAATAACAACAATAAATTGTTTAAACAATTGCTGAATTAATAATTTTACGTCAAATCTATCTTTTATTATATTCGGCTTGATAAATTGCAAACTTAGAAAAAAAACTGCATCTTTCTAGGTGCAGAACAAAGAAAGTTAATAAATAATAACAATAAATTGTTTAAACAAATGAAAAATGCAATATAATATTTTTTATATCTATTATTTGACATCATAAAACACTCACAGTGAAAAGTCTGCATGATTTCAAGTCTTTTTGTAAAATAGAATTAAAAAAATATCTGAATTATCCCGGTTATCTCCGTACATACATTGATAAAAGTTATAAATAATCAAGAAGAAATTTTTTTTAAAAATTTGTTTTTACATTTTTTGAAAGTTCTTAAGATTTTGTTCAGTGACTTAAAATCGCGATTCAATTAAGGCAAAACTTTAGAAGATATGGCAATTTCAATTTGTCTGGCCCACCCTGGGTGGGCATCTTGTCAAGCGAAGGTTAAATAATTTTCGAAACCCCATGTTTTTTCATTTTTCTGCAAGAAAGTTATTGACTTTCAAAAATAGTGAAAATGAACAAAGTGGCTATTTTATTTAAAAATTTTTTTATACTTATGAAGAAAAAAGAAGAATAGTGCAAAAAAATTCTAAATGTTTATAACAAGAACTTCATATTTGGTAAATTTTTATTTAATTTAATGTTTCCTATTTTTTATAATTAATGAACAAAAAACGCCAAATTAGGTTATTTGACAGGTGCACTTGAAAATCATATTTTATATGTTATTTCACATCTTTAATTAAGTATATCAATTGATAATGATAAATTTATTCATTCTTAATAAATTCCAATATTTTTTTTTATTTTTATGGTAAATTCTATGTTTTTTTTGCATATTTTGTAATAGCTAAAAAGTTGACAGTTTTCAGCACCTCGCATACTTTAAATTCATATTTTACAATAAATAATTAAATTTTTAATAAAATTCTTTTCATTTCGTGATTTTGATAACTTCAAAATCATTCCTGCAAAGTATTATAATTTTTAAAAATTAGTCAGCAACGACTTTATTCGAAATATAATGGTTTGACCCAAAAAGAAAGGTCAAAATTCGAATTTTTTGAAAAACTTTTGCACCATTCGAAAGAGCAGGAGAAAACCTTTCGAAAACATAAAGGTCAAAATTTTTTTATCTTTCTGTTTAAAAGTTACAAGTCTTTAAAAATTCATTGGTAAAATATTTCAAAAACAATCATCCCTCTCCTAAAGTTTTTTAAAAACCTAAAAATACTTCGTAGTTAAAGTACTCAACCCTAGGGCTAAACTATGTGCAAGTTACAGCCCGATTCGATCAACTTTTTTTTCACTTAGTACGCAACAGGAATTTTACCCCATATATAAAGTAAGTTTTATTTCTTTTTTAAAAATTTGATTTACTATTCATGGACATAAAATTTACAGTGATTTCAATAACCTAGAGTCATAGAATATTTCCTAGTTGTGTTTTATTTAACGAAATGTAATTTTGTGGGGTAACTTCGGACACGGGACGAATATGTAACGTAGTTGGAAAAAATCATAATTAGTGTCATTATTCTGACAACACAATTTAAGAAACCTTTTTGGGGGTGAGGAGAAATTATTGAGCATTCGAAAAGAATCCGAAAAATACAATGTTCCCGAAAGTAAATTGAGCGATCAATTAAAAATTCAAATGTATCTACTATTAATTTATTTTAATTGATTTATTTTATTTATTTTTGTAAAAAATTATAGAAAATAGTCTGAGAGCTTTGTAATGGTTTATTATTAAAACAAAAATACTTTAATAATATAATTATCTTAAATACTTTTGAATTACGGAAAAAATTATTCAATGTCCTAAGTTACCCGCCCTTGAAGGCTAACTTCGGACACTTGTTTTTCATTTCAAAGAAAAATTTTTGATCTAAATTTTTTAATTACACCTATCAATACACAAGACCCTAACGATTGTACATTCTTATCTTCAAGTCCCTAGATTTTTTTTCATAAAAGATAGTAAAGAAAAACATCAAAAACTGTCCGAAGTTACCCGCTTTGAAGGTAAGATTTTCATTTACAAAATAATAAACTCGTTGATCGTAGCGTTACATTTATTGTAACCAGTTTCAGAATAGTTCAATTACACAGTGAATTTTTTTCACTTAAAATATAGTGCAACTGCATTGTAACTGTACAGAAAGTAAATAGTTTTCATATACTTAAAGTATCCGGAAACTTGTTGGCCGTAGCGTTACAGTTCTAGTTAAATTGTATATAGTTTAATTTTCGAGTGACTTTGAAAAATACTGCATTACTACCTACGTAATAAATTTAAATTTAAATAAATTGTAGATTAATAAAAATTTCTATTATCCTAATTGAATAGAAAATAGTAATAATAATAATAATGAATGAATACAAAGTTGTAAATATAATTAAAGTATAAAATAATATTTAAAAAAATATACTAAAAATTTTAATTATTTAATTTTAATCTTTTATAGAAAGATAAAAAAATTTCTTATACAGAAAAAATGGTTAATTTTAACTAGTCAATTAATAGTACCAACAAATCCATTTGAATATGTTATCTAGCTAATAATTATCTATTAATTTTTTACGTATCACGTTGTTATTCTATTGTAAAAGAACATTTAAAATAATATAAATAATATTTCTTACTTCAATTATCCGAGTGCGATTTATTTATGATCATGATTTTTAAAGAAATGTTATTTTAATAAATTGTTTAAATTATTACTTATAAATTATTGTTCATTATAATGAAAAATATTTAAAATTTGTAAAAGAAGGATACTCTAAAACAAAACATTCATTTACTATTTTTTAGGTTACCAACACGTAAATAAAATTTGATTTTTTAAACTCTATTCTGTGCTACCGTAAATTATGTCCGATTGAGAACAATATTCGTATTTTTATAAGTATTATACTTAGAATCATTTTAATGCATAAAATTACTTTTGTTATAAATATTTATTTTTAAAACTTAAAGTGTCCTTCCGACAGTTGAATACTTTGTTTTAGCACACTCTTCAATTATTACAGGTTGCGAAATTACCTTTTTTCTCATTATCTTCTTTTAACCAAGTGCACAACTGTAAAATTTCTTGACGTTTTTCACCATAGTTCCACGTGAGTTCGGTACCAGGTTTTATATCTTTTAGAGCCTTAAAAAAAATTCTCGGTGTCTCATTTATTATCTTCAAAAAAGGTTTTACATTTGGGCAAATAGAATGGTTCATTAGACGCCCTTTATCTTTTGTTTCTTTGGTTGCATCTATAAAATGTTTTTTATTATTAAACATAAAGTCTAATACGTAGGAACCTAACGACTCTTTAATATAGATTTTTTCTCGCTCTTTCATTACTGCGGATGATTTTATTAATTCTCCGACATATTCGATAACAATATCTCCTTTTGCAATAAACATTTTATTAAATAAAGCTCTATTTTTCCCGGATACCTTTCTAACTTCAAAAGATTGTTCATTTATATTTTCAAAATTTATAAAATTTTTTGATTTGACATCCTTACTGCGTAAATGCATTATGATTGGCGTTAACTGTAAGAAGATATATTAATTTATTAACATTAAAAATTATTAATGTACACTATTTAATATACTATGCTATAACATTAAAATTTCTTTTATAAAAAACATGCAAGTAATTAAGAGGACCCGGCGTAGCTCATTAGAGATAATTTTTAATTCACTCATTATTAATTAGGACCAAACTGTTAAGAAAACTTTAAACGCGTTTTTCTCAAAACTTCATTTGAAAAATCGGTGGGCACTCTAGCTGCCACAAATTTCAATCGATTGTCTTAGTTTTTTTATTTTGTATGTGATATAATTATCTAGCGAAATACTTACGGATTTTATGAAATATTAATATTTAAATTACTTAGACAACTTTAAGGAACGAAATTGAGGAAAAAATAAGCACTTTTTCCTTCAAATCGATGCCATTTTGCGTAAATTACAATTTTTTAAACGGATACGTATTTCGCTAGATTTTGAGCTGCAGAATCTAATACTTTTTTTATCTAGCTCAAATCTGGACAGAGTTATAGTGCCCACCACACGTCGATACATTTTTGAAACACTCCGTCATATCTTCTGTCAAACTGACATTATTGAAAAAAAAATTTTTTTTTGCAGTTCAAGAGTAGTATAAATACCCTACTGTATTTTAATTTTCTTAAAAAATTTCTATTCTTCAATAAAATTGTTAATAAAGCGTATTTTCTGGTCGGGTCAAAGTAGTGTAACCCTTTAAGAATCCAAAGTAATATCTGTTGTTTTTGTGATACATTGCAGTGGATAAAATAGAAAAAGTTTGTATATGTTGAATTTGCGAATATTTTGCTTCCTCATAAAAAATGTTCTTTTTTTTTAAATTAAATTGTTTTGATAGAAAAATAGAGATCTTTTATGTACGAAAAAAATGTTTTGTAAAGAAATTTACATAATAATAATAATAATAATAATAATAATGATGAGTTGACATTTTCTTAAAAATTTGAAATTTTGCGTCAAATTGATTAAAATAACTTATTTTATGAAATATTATATAAAATATTATATCACCTGGAAAAAATTAAATCAGAAAAATCCACTGTTTAAATTTCGTTATATATCGAGATTCGATTGTAAGAGATAAATATAATAAAGAAAAACTAAAAGTAATATTAAAAATTTTTTCAAATCAAAAACTTTCCAAGTATAATGAGAATTAAAAACTTAATAAGGATTTAATTATTTTTATATTTTTTTGAATATAAAAACGAATAGGTATTTGTAATAAACTGTACTTATTCAATATTTTAAATTAAGTTAATTAAATATTCCTGGCAATGAAGTATTATAATAGTTGTCAAAAAATTTGATATTTTAATTAATTTATTGTTATTTACGAAAGAATATTAAAAACGGGTAAATTCATTTCTAACAATTTTTTATTATATTAATAAACTTTAGTGTATATTAATGAATTTTGTATATTTAATAACTATTTTCATTTAAACCATACTTTTATGAAGTATGGAAAAATATCATATGAAGTCCTGGAAAAGTTATGGAATAATAATAATCTGTTTTACAGTGTGATTAGAGAACTGTTACTATCGAATGCTTAAATTTTCCAGATCTTCAAAAATAGTTTTTGGACATTTTTTTTAATAATATAATTATGAAGAACTGTATATTCGAAGTGCTCCACCTTAAACACAAATATTTTAAGTGGTTTAAATAAGCATTTTTTGAAAAGAATTATCTCGATTAAATTAAAATTGTTGTTAATATAAATTAGTTATTGTTGTCAATTGTCTTTGTAATTAGTAAAAGTCATTGTAAAATTTTTGTTTATTCTGATTGATATGATTTAAAAAAAGTATTTTATTTGTATAAAAAGAATTATTTTTAAGCTAAGCTTCTAAATATTATAAAACACCTCTCAGATTTTGAAAACATTTCAAAATAAAGTTTAATTTTTTTTATTTTTATAAGGCTTATAATTGTCATTCCAAATGATTTTAAAAATAACAATTACACATAAAACAGATTAAATTATAATTTATTTTATTTAATCACTCTCGTTTTTTATATTTTTTTTAAATCAAATTCGTAAATTCAACATATAATAACTGTATAATCAAAAAACATACTAAAAAATACAAAAAGGCATTGTAAAACCTAACCTATCTAATACGCTATACACAACTTCATTGAAATCTTTATATTTTAAATATTTTTTTTTAATTAACTCAGTATTTTTCACCACAAATTGATGTTTAACTTATAAACTTCTTTGTGGAAAAGTTTATGAAGATTAACCTTCAACAACTTGACTTACACATCACGTGTTATTTTCTCTAATACAAACAAGCACAAGTTAAAAATATGAAGTTTGTATTAAACGTGTCGATTTAATAAAAATTTACCTGATTTTTTTTGGCACTAATGAAATATAATTTTTCAAAAACAAATATAATCTAATTATTATCAGCTTCCTATAGAAGACATGATGTAAACTTGAATGCTATTCAAATAAGAAAATGAGCATTGAAAATGAAGAACGTGAATAGAAGGGCGAACTCATGAGGTCTAATCTCAAGGTACCATTCTGTGTCGACGTGAAAGCATCAGGGTACGGTCACAGTACGGAAGCTCCTACGGTTCACCAGCGTCTGAGACGCAAGTGGCGCTATTTCGTACCACTAGTGGGACGGAGTTCGTCCGACTATAGTGGAAAGTTGTTCATTTTGTGCCACTCGTTGCTCCAAGAAGACTAGAACAAGGAGGTCTAACTCAGGTAGTGGGGGTATGGTAAGTATACCGCACACTCTGCCTTTCGGCCTACCTCGAAAACCAATTCTTTACGTACCCCCACTACCTGAGTTAAACCTCCTTATTATATAAATGACAGTTTGAATACTTATTATATATATATATATATATTATACATTTATGTAAATGACAGTTTGAACCCATATTATATCTATTATATGGATTTAAACTGTCATTTATTTAAATATTCTTCATGCAAAAGTTGTTGTGAAGACCCATTCAAAAAAACCACTTTCCACTAGTTGGACGGAGCAGCGAGCAAGGAGTGGCACAAAATGAACAACTTTCCACTAGTTGGACTCCGTCACACTAGTGGTACGAAATATCGCCACTTGCGTCTCAGACGCTGGTGAACCGTAGGGGCTTCGGTAGTCACAGTATGTCATGCATGCACTGTGCATGGTGCAGAAACATTTGTCTGTTCACACTTCAATGATATTTAGTAAAAGTTTAGTAACTTTCTAGTAATTTTTTAATTTCGATTATTTTTAGAAAGTTACTAAACATTTACTATAAAGGCCTAAACAGAATAGTTGAACGAACGTGAAACTTGAGTTAAAAAAGGACAGAGATTTATTTATATCCTTTTCTATCTCATGCATCTCGTTCGCGAAGTATTGTGTGTTGGCCTTAAGAGTACGGCCACAGCTCAGCAATCTAAGTAGGGTCGTCATGGTATCGTATAAGAGTAAAGGCCAACGCACAATAGGTTCGTGAAAGTCATTCACATGCATGACATAGAAAAGGATACGAATCTATCTCTGTTATTTTCTAACTCATGTTTTCCGTTCGCGAACGTTTTTCGCGAAGCTATGCTGCTTAGGGAGCGTTCATAAACTACGTAGACCTATTTTTGTGACTTTTTGACACCCCCCTCCCCCCACGTAGACTTTTGATGACCCCCCCCCTCCCCCCGTGTTTCACGTAGTTTTTTTTAATATGCATTTTTACTACATATTTAATTATATTCGCATATTATACAAACAAGTCAATTAAAAACAGTAAAATAATCTGAATAAAATATTTTATTCTTTACATATAGAAATGTTTAAAATCAACAAATACAAAAAATCTTTTAATACGAAGATAACATTTTTTTTTAATTTTCTTAAAATTTTTTTTTTAGAGATCTTCGGTACACCTCTGTCTTTTTTATTAGAAGTTCGAACTCCCGCGCAATTTTAAAAACGCACTCTCTAAATCTGAATTAGTAAAAATGTTTACTAATTTGAATTAGTGACTCACTTTTTGCTTCTGAATTAGTAAAATTTTACTAATTATTAGTAACTTTAACTAACAATTAGTAAAATTTAACTAATTCTAAAGCAAAAAGTGAGTCACTAATTCAAATTAGTAAACATTTTTACTAATTCAGATTTAGAGAGCAAAGAAATTAATTTTAGTATATATTACATAGTTAGAATCGACACCCCCCTCCCCCCACGTAGACTAAGGTAGAATTTCGCTTAACCCCCCCCCTCCCCCTAAACATGCTACGTAGTTTATGAACGCCCCCTTAGGCCTTAAGAGAAATAAAGAATGTTCTTATATCATTCACTCCTATACGTTACCATGTCGACTCTACTTAGTACGTAAGTTTCTATGCGCCACCACTAAGCACTCACTCGCGTTACGAGGCACGATTCAATTGACCAAGTCGTTTGTACCCTGTAGTGTGCTCCGTATCCGTATCTTGCGGTTACGATTCCGGCTACGTTTCTATTCTGCTTAGGTCTTTTTTAGCACTGCCTGACCCGTCTGAATTCAGTCGTTTCCTCAGTACAAAGTTGTAAACAAAACAAGTTCTTAAAAAACAACAGAACAAGCACACCTGTTTATGTCAAAAATATGAAAAACTAGCCTGTTTCACGTGCACTTCTTAATTACAATATTTTAGCCAATCAGAATAAATGAATAATGAAATTTTATAAACAGGTTGAGTACCTTTTCATGCTCATTGAGCACTTATAGCGAGAATTCTCTAGTATACATTTTATCAAGTATGTGCTAAAAATCTGAATTTGGAAACGGCCATAGTTTATGCTTTTCGCCAAAGCTTTTATAACGAAATCGGATGGCAC